TAAAATCTTTAAAAAAAACTAATGATGTAATGTATGGTGATTAACATAACAATAAAAAATAAATAAATAAAAAAATTTTTAAATAAAATAAAATAGCCATCGACCAGCAAGTGGGATGCCAATAGCTTTATGCAGCCACCTATTTGGCTTTACAATCTCAATTTCCATAATGCTTTGATTTAACAAAGTTGAATCTGCAACAAAGGAAGCAGTTGTCTAAGAAAGGGCGGTGTTTCTCAGGGCAGGGGCAAACAGGATAAGAGCCCAGTGCCTGAACAGTGAGGTGACAACAAAACAGCTGGAACGGTTGAGGAAGGTCAAACATCCTCTCAAACATACCCCTTCGCCTCCAAAACAAACAAGGAAGAAATTATGAAACCAGTAGGAGCCACAAGGTCTCTTTATGAAAGGATCCAGGATGATGTGCCTGAACAGTATGTGTCTTAATAAAACTTCCTGAGCTTTTCTACCATCTGCTTTACATTTACGTACTGAGCTTTTTTCTTTACATCTATTTGTTTTTACAACACCGCTATTCTCGAGGGTACCACCCTGCTGCTTGCTGCGGCCCTTTGAGCTTTGTGTTACAGGAGGCAAACTCCAACCAGCAGATACCCTAGTATTCAGTGGATTGACGTCTTTCTTAAAGACATTTTCTCAGTGTCTGAGTTAAACTCCTTGAGTCTCTTGCCACATTAAGGGGATCTCAAATGGGTCTTCTGTAGATGAAGTACCAAAGTAAGGAAGTAGTAGAGGTAAGGGGGTTGAGATTCATATCATACACGAGATCTCCAATTATATTCAAAACCATTTAACCAAAGAGTTCCATGCATTTCTTTTTCTACTTCTCCTACTCCTTTTTCCTCACCAATTCTGACTAATCGGAAATTTTGGGGGTTTTTTTGCTGTTTTTGCATCCTTCCCAGACATATCTTTCTGGAAATGCTGGTGCAGGGAGGGGACGGGGCAGGGTTGAATGATAAAGGCAACTTCCTCCTCCAGCATTTTGTAGAGTTAAAACCTGCTTATGATAAATGCCAAAGAGTCAGGTAAGATTTGAAATTACACAGCATGGGTAATGACACAGGGGCTGTCCTTGACTAAACTTTGATCAGGCTCCTCTAAGCCCATGAGGCCTCAGTCTTGCGTCCATCCTTATAGGGCCTGCACTGTCCGGTTTTAGCAAGAATCCTGTTAAGTTACTTTAGAGAGAATCCTCCATCCTTGATATTTGATCACCCTGGTGTGCCTTCAGCAAGAATCCTATTAAGTTTGCTTAACCAAAATCCCCCCCACCCACCCATGATGTTTCTCCATAGTAATTTTCCATTCATTGACCCCCACCCTGATCCTCAGCTATAAATCCCCACTTGTCCATTGATGTCTTTGGAACTGAGCCCAGTTCTGGAATAAAATCTGTCTTTACCGCTTCAACTACTGT